CGATGGAATTACTCGGTGAATGTATAGTGTCTATGTCACGAATGTAAATAATGCGTAGGAAATGTCTTGACTGCAACCCGAGTATATTCGTAGTATCAATGTCTGGCCGAATTTGCCACTGCTAGTTATCTCGTAGCTACATCAATGGTATTTTGAAACAGGTTTCACGTGTCGGCAAAACAGGCACAAGAAGCAATCGTCTCCTGGCGGTAACAACGCCGGTAACAACGCCAGGAGATGTTTGTTTCTTGTGCCTACTTTGCCAACATGTGAAACTTGTTTCAAAATACCATTTTGCCACTACGAGATAACTCGTAGTGGCACATTCGTCTAGAATTGAGGGCGATGGAGATGCCATTGATCCGCTATTACATGACTGAGTTCTGTCTAAAAGAAACGTTTGCGCATCGCGCAGGGGAACAGGTTCTAGTTTTCCCGAAGCATACGGAAATGTCCGAGACTTTGCGAATGATCACTTTTGAATCGGTGATTGCGCAACTAAATCTGATTGCAACCAATAACGAATCCTGAACACCCGCACCATGAAAGGGCCGTATTAGAACAGAGGTTCGTAGTAAGATATGACAAGTAACCTCTGTGGGAAGAGAATGGTTTTTGAGTTGGTCACGAATGATTAATGATGGGAGAGGTTTGACCGCCCAAAGGGTCGCGTGTGTTCTTGAACCAATCAGATATCGACTTTGTTTAAGCAATTTCTTTAGAACTTTTGGATTTAGAATCTAAACATTAAAAAAATATAAACTAAGAAAAGACATGTAAAGGATATGATATTGCTTAGATTGACCTCCCGTTTGGGGATAGATACAGTGTGTGTGAACGTACATGGCGTGGCTTTAATTATTTGCATTCGGAACAGTATCGCTGGATCTTCACAGATAATGTTATTGTGTCAAATTTAAATATCTGATTAGAAAGGTTTGTTTTGAATTGTGTTGACATGGGAGGGAACAGACAGTGTGTATTTTCTATTCCGATACCACTGTTCACTACCGTAGTAGACGAGGGTCAGTTGGGTGGCCTCGTGGTCAAAGAGTTCACTCGTCACGCCGAAGACCCGGGTTCGATTCCTCACATGGGTACAATGAGTGGAGCCCATTTCTGGTGTCCCCCGCCGTGATATTGCCTGAATATTGCTTAAAGCGATGTAAGACTGAACTCACTCACTCACTCCTGGAGACGAATTCATGATTTTATCATAGAAAAGTTTAAAAAGTTACATTGCAATGCAGCCATGACATGATCTCAGATCTACACACTCTCCAAAAGCCATTCTCACACCCAAGAATATGAGGATCCAAGTAGTCTGTCATACAGACCCTGAAGCAAATATATCCAAGAAAGCCCACGCAAGTCTAGAAAATGTGGCAAGTCTAGATTTCCACAGCTTCTGAAAATGAAGAAAGTCTCAGGGCTCCTTTTACATTATATTTGTTTTACTATGAGCTTTTTTTCCCTGTAATATATGGTCACAGACTAGTTGTTAGTCTAGGATCTAAGGTTCGAATCCTATATCTGAATATGATCCTTGATGTGTCAGCCCGATATCCTTGGTGTTTCAGTCTGCCTAGACTTGCTCTGTGCCCCCTAGGGCTGTGTATTGGCAAATAAACTGTGTTGCAATATTTTGCGATTCAGGTACCCGTATTGCGATACACATTGCGATATATTGGGAGCTTAAGTGTTTGACAGTCAGTGACACTAACTGTGCATGTCAAACCTATTTCCTACACTATAAGTTCCTAAACATAAATGCTATGGTTCTGATAACAGCAATCTCAAAATTAGGTTGCATAGGCATGGCTTCTAAACTAACGGGCAAAAGAAACGATACTAAGTCGAAATCACTGATATTACAAAACGACAAACCACCATTGTGTTAAAGGAAAGTGAGTGAGTGAATATGGTTTTACGCCGCTTTTAGCAATATTCCAGCAATATCACGGCGGGGGACACCAGAAATGGGCTTCACACATTGTACCCATGTGGGGAATCGAACCCGGGTCTTCGGCGTGACGAGCGAACGCTTTAACCACTAGGCTACCCCACCGCCCCTAAAAGGGAAGTGAATTTTAATAGCAAGTGTATGGGCATGTGTATGCACATGCATGTTGCCCATACACTATTGTCAAAATTATCTTTCCTTTTACACAATGGTGGTTTGTCGTTTTGTAATATCAGTGATTTCGACTAAGTATCGTTTCTTTTGCCCGTTAGTTTAATTACTTTTTTTTATACAATCTATAGTATTACAGTATGTCGTTTTGTCATTGAATGACGAAGGAAACATTGGTTGTGAATGAAAGAATGTGTAGATTTTAATTTAAACCATAAAAATGATCACAAAAACTTCAAATATAACGGTTCTCAGAAACAAATATTGCAATACGTATCGTTTGAATAGCGTATTGCAATATACCGATATACCGGTAATACCGTGCAGTCTAGTGTCAACACAATGTGATATCACTAAAGTCGATTCCATGCAATTGTGTATACATTATGTATATACGTCCCGGTCGCATATCATCCTAATATGCTCCGTCCGATGAACTGTTTGAGATACAGAGATTACATCATGAGTGTTTGTTGGGTACCATTTATCTCACAACGAGTTGTTTCAAGACTGATTAGATACGGTTCCAACATGAGTTAGAAGTTGAATGGTATGTGACCGACACGAGTGCAGTAATTCGTTTCTTTTGTGACCATCTTGGTATATTTAGTCCATTCACACAGTGGCGCATTAATACCGAACACGGTGATGAGTGACGTCATCCGGGTTACCTCTTACTACACATACCGAAATTAAACAACGATACTGTTGGTATCCCGTACAAAACAATAGAAATTTGATATAATGTTGATGCTATGAGGTGCCATTTAGAATTGAATGGTGATTGGAGCGAGGAGTCAATTACAACGTACCGTACGTCCAAATGTCGTGAGATCTCGTGCAGCTGTCGTGAGATCTCGTGCAGCTATCCTGTGATCACCGACTGACGTTGGCCAATTAAGACGGGACAATGCTCCCTTCCCTGTTGCCTGTGTTCATTCTAAATATCTTGAAGTGGTAGCTTGTGCCCTTTATCTCTAGAACTTTGGTAGTCATTAAAGAAGGACACGATCTGGACAATGTGGGAATGCTTTAATCATCAACATGTATAGGTGAACTCTTTTTAAAATTTTAAAATCAATAATAGCCATATTGAATTCATGTCCATCCACCAGGCTTTATTGTGTCACGTGACGTTTACGTACATGAAACTATTAAAACATTTTCAATGTGGACTCCAGCCCTGCAGCTCAAGGGCCTGGACGGCGTGTTTATAAAGACCAAATCTAACAGCGTGAAATTCAAAACAAAATAACAAAAATCGTATGGATTTTTAAAAGTCATGTTATTTCTTACGTACGGAGCAAACACCTGTTGTTTTATAATCCATGTCTACAACCCATGTTTTACAGCCCGTGTTTTACAGTTCGTGCGGGCAATGTTTTATAGTCCGTGTTTCACATTCCTTGCTTTACAGCCAGTGTTTAGCAGCCGATGTCTTACACTCGATGTTTACAGACCATACTTTACAATCCGTGTTTACAGACCATATTTTACAGTCCGTGTTTACAGACCATACTTTACAATCCGTGTTTACAGACCATACTTTACTGTCCGTGTTTACAGACCATACTTTACAATCCGTGTTTACAGACCATACTTTACAATCCGTGTTTACAGACCATACTTTACAATCCGTGTTTACAGACCATGTTTTACAGGTCGTGTTTACAGCTCGTTTTACAGTCCGTGTTTACAGACCATACTTTACAATCCGTGTTTACAGACCACACTTTACAATCCGTGTTTACAGACCATACTTTACAATCCGTGTTTACAGACCATACTTTACAATCCGTGTTTACAGACCATACTTTACAATCCGTGTTTACAGACCATACTTTACAGTCCGTGTTTACAGACCATACTTTACAATCCGTGTTTACAGACCATACTTTACAATCCGTGTTTACAGACCATGTTTTACAGTCCGTTTTTACAGACCATACTTTACAGTCCGTTTTTACAGAAGTGTTATACACTTATTATGTTAATGAAGCCATTCAAGCAAAGTGTGGAAAGAGATGGCTAAATGGTTAGAAAGGTTGGCTGAAGGATACATTGAATTAACACCAGAATATATTATTTGGGTTTTAAGGGGAGAAATAGTAATCCACTTAATGCCATTTGTCTCATGGTGAAAAAAATATTTACAATATGAGCAGAAAAGGGAGAACACCTAATTTTAAAAGCATCCAAAAAGAAATATTAAGTTACTACCAAGCATGTAAATTCATTGCCTTTACAAACAACAATCAGTCCAAATGTTTTTTAATTTGGTCCTCTTTCCACACGCTAGTTTTAGACTTGTAGCTGAATATTTAATTGTAAACCTTAAAGAGTACACTTTAATGTTACAATGATTTGCCTTGCAGGTGATTAGAAACAGTCAAATATGCAGTAGACGTTGTCATACACTGTACTTTGTACAGTTATGTATAGGTAAACATCTGTTGAGAAATAATGGGTAATGTTAAATGACTTATACCTTGCATGTTACCAGAGGTAGTCAAACATACACAAGTTGTAATTCATATACAATACGAAACAACATTATGTACCGATGCCTACTTATGTATTATGTAGTTATGTCCACTTATATATATGTAATATCTGCAAAGAAAGAATGGTCAATGTAACACCGACTAAGGCCCTATGCCAAGCCTGTAAATACTACCTATTTATGTATGCCTTGTATATGTGAACATCTGTTCATAATTATAATGTCATGTAAACATGTACTGGGAAATAAAAACGTGAAAATAAAAATAAAATATTTTACATTCCGTGTTTTACAGACCATATTTTACAGTCCGTGTTTAACTTTGCATTCTGATGTTGTACTTCCTCGTGTTCCATGTTTCAGTTTCCTGCCGCAGCCGGTGTTGTCCTGGTGTCCACGTGGTGTGTCACCGTTTGCCTCAGCCGTCTCTACCTCGGGGTCCACTCTGTGCTGGTAAGTCTCACCTTGCATTCAGATAATAGTTACTGAATGGACAAGCTATTGACATGTAACCCGCTGAGTAGGTACAGACTTCACATACTGGCTAGGACGTGACTGCTCTTTATCAACACGAAGACAAATTATATTATCTCGAAAATGAACATCTGTTTGCAGTGTGCCAAATAGCCACTGGCCCATTAGCCCGTGGCTAGGAAAAATCCAGTCGGGCCAGTAAATGTCTACAGTCACTGGCCCGACTGGCTAGTGAAATTTTATGGGGTAATTTGTTTTGATGGTATTTTATCTTTTTGTAATGTTTGCTTAGTTTCTACATTCAAATTTCGGGCTAATGAACTATCAGGACTAGCTTGCCCGACTGGCTAGCAAAATTTGGGAACTATTTCGTATACCGACTGTGTGACATATTTTAGCAGGCATATGAGACTCAAACACATCACGAGTTATCTCCCTTGCATTGTAATGCAAGGGAGATAACTCGTGATGTGTTTGAGCCGGCTAGCAGTTGTAATGATGTCCGTGTTTACTGGGTTCACTCTCAACTCTCTAAACCTTTGGACAAAACTAATATTTTTCAACACTTTAGTTATTGCGTATGTGATCAAATCACTAAATGGATTCGGAGCTGGATAGGGGGTTGTTTTTTAAACCACAGGAGTTTAATTGTGGCATTATTCTCGACCTGTCATTTATTGATACCAAAACGGGACCTTTAGAAGCGGGTCAAGGCAGCTAAGGGACGTCACTCCGTTACCTGACGCTCTGCGCCTTGTACCAATCGTAACTACTCGCCTCTTTCCGTGCCTTCGTCACCACACGCCCTTTTCCGTAACATCCAAGATGTCGCTATTCGGCTTGTCCCGGAATATCACGAGTTGGTCACGAATGCTTTCCGTGACCTACAAGAAGACATCCGGCTTGCCGGAATGACACGAGTAGTAACGAATGCGCCATATACCATATACCATTGTTCAATCAAAAGTTGCCTTTGTGTTTTTTGTTGAACGTCATATTGAGCAATAACCCAGCTGCATCACCTTCGTGTGTAAATGGTGTTTTGGGTCTCGTCTAATACCTGGGATAGGCTAGTGGTTAAAACGTTCGCTTGCTCACGTTCGATGCCCCGGGTGCGTACAATAAGTGAGGCCTCGCTGTGACATTGGCCTCGCTGATCCATTTAGTTGCTACATGCGACTGGCACACGGGTTCCGGGTTAGAATTGATCCTCCGTAACCCATGCTCGTCGTTAGAGGCGACCTACGGGATATGGTCAGGCTCGCTAACTTGGTTGACACATGTCATCGTATCCCAATTGTGTAGATCGATGCTCATGTTGTTGATCACTGGATTATCTGGTCCAGATTCGATTATTTATATACCATCGTCATACAGCTAGAATATCCTGATGGCGGCCCCACACAACAAACCGAATAATAGATATACATCATCATCATCATCATAACTTATTTCGTATAGATGGCCATGAGGCCAACAGTACAGCATGTGTAAAACAATTAGACAAAAACATGTATATGCGCCACACTGAGAATATAGATCTTACTAGTTCAATGAATATGCTTATGTGTTCATAGAGACATTTTGTTTTGATCGAAGTACAAACCCTTTTTAAGAAAGATACAAAGTCTTAGGAGTCTATTCTCCTCACATGTTCTCATCAGTTTAACGAACATTTTTGGGGGCGGTGGGGTAGCCTAGTGGTTAAAGCGTTGGCTCGTCACGCCGAGGACCCGGGTTCGAATCCCCACATGGGTACAATGTGTGAAGCCCATTTCAGGTGTCCCCCGCCGTGATGTTACTGGAATATTGCTAAAAGCGGCGTAAAACCAAAACATTAGAACATTAGGGTAATTACGACAGTATTCAGGTAAATATCTAACACGATACTCATTGTAAAGAGGACACACTAATGTAATGTGGAATTCATCTTCTAGTTCAGTCACACAGGAGGTACAAAACGCAGTTTCATAGTTTTTGGAGTATCTATATACGAACTAACATTAAAATCATGTACATTGCAACGCAGCTTTGTCAACCATCTCCGTAATAACTAATAATAACTAATAGTTACAAGATATTTTTCAAGTAAATAGACTGTCTTTATGGTTGAATAGAACGTCAGGGATTTGGATAAAGCTATATATTGATACCATTCTTGATAATAAATGTCTTTGCAACGCTGTTTAAAATTATCAAGAAAACATTGTTTGTTACCAACATCTTGTGCTATCTATACGTAATTGAAACCGTATCTAAATAATAACATTCTCACTTTTGATACCCAGTTCACATCCCCATTATCATCTAATCCTCTTAACATTTCATAACATTTCCTTGACATAGAATTCTCGTCCAAAACGAAAGGAGGGAGATATAGGCATATCTTTCAATAGGATAACTACCTCATCCTGCCAGTGCGGCTTTACTTGATGCCCTTGAACCAGTCTATAATACATATTTATAAAAACTTGAATGAACCTTTTCAATTGGTATACGGTTTCCCCATCCCCTAAGCTCCGCTCCATATAAAAGTATAGGCTTAGTCTGAATGCTGCCTCAATTGGCAGATTTTAAAATTTGTTAATAAAACGTTTAATTGGGTACAGTGCCTTTTCTGCTTGTTGGGGAAGTGGAGATACCATGTCTATGAACATATATTTCGATGTATTTCTGTTTTAGTTTCTATTTTTAATCCGAGACAAAATTCCAGCTAACTGCCATTGCACGATGTTCTTTAACACTATGAAAACCTAACGGAAATTATCTGGTTAATGTAATTCAACTGCCAAATGTAGTAATATTATTTCAGAGCAACTGTCGGAAATCGTTTATCGAAAATCTGCCTCTTACCGTTAACGGAGACAAACGGTTCGGCCTGTTGCTAGGCAACTAACTTTCGTGTGTCGGTAGGTTCGGTATTAAGGTATCAGAAATCAATGGCGGTGTATGGAGTCCTGAACACCTGATATAAGGAATACCCGCCAATACAACCTGATTCAACAGCTTTCCCTCTGTGTTTGCCATAGCAATGATTTATGAATAACTGACGAGGTGGCCCACGAGAATACTATTCCTCTGGGGAATTTTCTTTACAAGGGCAGGGGACCTTTAATTTGGAAACATAACTGCATGATTATGCTTTATATGTTTAACAAATATTTCACGATCCAGGAGGGCGTTATAAAATTATAAACTATATAAATAATAACGGGCTAAGAATGCATCCCAGGCGGAAACCCCATATGATTTGACCTGACAATGATTCAAACATTGTTGCTGTATTCGAGCAGGTCATTAAGTCATACAACCAATCAAAATAAAGTCAGCCCTCGTGTCTGACTGCGGTTAAAAATTGCCATTCAGTGGGGATGTAGTTGATCAGGTTAAAAAATATGTATTGGAATTTAACCTTTCTGTGATTCTGCGACAATATTTTCAGTTGTCCTTCCACAATCTGAGAATATTAGGTCAGAAAACATATTGTAAGTGTACTCAATTATTTATTACCACTATTGAAGACAGAGATAAAGTATGCAAACATATTCAAAGATAATTATTCATTGTATGATGGTGATTTGTGAAAGTGTAATGAGTATATGTATATTGTGAATGTATTCTACATACATTGCACTGTGGAAATATATATGGTAAAAAAAATATATATACATATATTTTCAGTTGTAATTTGACCAAATCCTTTGCAAGTGTATACTTCATTGTTCCCGGCAGCTTATAAAATGTCTTCTACCAACATCAATCATTCAGAGAAATGAAATGAAGTTGATCTATGTCTGTAGATAATTTTCTATGTATAATTGAGAGTATAGTATTACACTTAGGAGATGACTTCTTTGAGAGGCGGGGTGGTGGCGTAGCTTAGTTTATCAAAGCGTTCGCTCGCTAACGTCAAAGTCCCGGGTTCGATTCCCCACATGAGTACAATGTGTGAAGCTCATTTCTGCCGTGATATTACTGGAATATTGCTGAAAGCGGCGTAAACCCCAACTCACTCACTCTGATTTCAAGGAAAGCATCGGAAGTGTCTGACATACTATATACTACCCGTCAAAAGTTTAGAGTCACTAGTGTAAATATGCAAATATTCCATACTGTTTAAAGGTACTGTTTACGCATGAACTGATGTATTGTAAATCAAATTCGTAACGTTGAAAAGAGTATTGTCATGAATTCAGTAAATGATAAAAATCAGTGAAAATTGGCGAATACTTAACAAAATTTTACATCAAAACGAAGCTTTTCACATGCACGATGTTTGCCCATGCTTTTCAGCAATTTGATGCATGATCCTCTTGTAATTCATCTGCATGCGGTTTGCAGTTGGTTCCCCCAAGTTAATGTAGAAATCGATCTTCGATGTAACCATATGTATATACATGACATATAGTGAGTGTTTTAAGTGAGTCTAAAATTTTGAGGGGTAGTATATATTTGAGAGACATTTAGAAATTGGAGCATAACGGAAGGATAATACTATATTGGTAAACAATATTTTGTATTACACTTGTATATATGCCTCCCAATCCTTATTCTTTTCACCACTTGCTTGATAACAGTGTTAGAACCTACACCGAAATGCCGCTCTCACTGTAATCATTATATTGCTTCCCTTCCTTACTAAGGGCCCGTGAAGATCCGGGTTAGAGTTGGTCTTCAGTAACCCATGCTTGTCGTAAGAGGCGACTAACGGGATCGGGTGGTCAGGCTCGCTGACTTGGTTGACACATGTCATTGTATCCCAAATGTGTAGATCAATGTTCATGCTGTTGATCACTGGAGTTTCTGTCCGGACTCGATTATTTACAGACCGCCTCCACATAGCTGGAATATTGCTGAGTGCGGCGTTAAACAACAATTAAATTATCAATCAATAACTGCAATCAAATACTTTTCTTTCCGCAGGATGTGTTAGTCGGATTCGTGTATTCTATGGCAATCATCATCATTGCAACACCTTATTTCAAGGAATTCGACACATTCCAACAAACTCACCCAAGCGCCCCTGTCGTCCTCTTCATCACCGGTCTCGCCCTTTGTACAGTGTGTTACCCCAGTAAAGATCAACACTCCGCCAAGGGCGACGCTGTCGGAACCGTTGCCGTCACTGTCGGTCTCTCCTTCGGCTTGTGGCTCAACCACCATCTTGGATTGACCTCTCCACCGGAAGTGACATATCCATACGCCATTGCAAGCCCCACAGTGAAATGGCTGGCTTTGTCCATCATACGTATGTTTTCTGGTGCCTTTGTGCTAGCGTTGGTCAGAGAAGTGGTCACAACTGTGTCCATCAAAGCGTTATCGTATTTGTTTAGGTTGGAAAAGCCAGACAAGAGACATCCAACGGTCCAAACAGCCTATAAGTTCATCAGCTATTTCGCGATCGGAGTATGTACCATGTGGGCTGTGCCATATGTACATACCATCATGGGAATATGTCGATCACAGTTTTACTATGAGGTCTCATAACACAATGCACATAAAGGACAAAACAATCATCTTGGCCACTGTTTCATCGAAAATGTCCAGTCAGGATTCGTTTTAAAGGCTATTTCAAATCAAATTTGGTTTTTATGTTTCAGTGGCTTTTATTCTGAATCAATTGATATTTAATTCTGTGAACAAGCAAACTATCTCATGATTCGGTACTTCTAAGCATATTAATTGCTCTGCTGTAAAACAAAGCGGTAATTTGGTTACTAATAATTGTTGCTCTATTTTGGTTATCGGATTCGCTCGTAACTTTCTGTGTACACGATTGGAAAGTGCACGGAAAGAGACGAATAGTGGATACTTTATAATTAGTGGATATAAGACTACGCGATCGCTAAACTTGCCACGTGATACGAGTTGAATGGAATAGGAAGGAAGTATTCCTTAATTTGTTAATATATATAAATTGCAATCTGATAATTACTTTTTGTACACTTACAAAAATCTTTTATCATTTCTTGTTTTATATATAAATATATATATATATATATATGTGTGTAAAATTATATATATATATATATACATATACATATATATACATACATATATATATATACACACATACATATACATGTATACATACATATATATATACATATATATATATACACACACACACACATATATATAATTTTACATTCACACACACGAGCACACTTACGCCTGTGCGCACGCACGCACACACTCACTCATAACCCATTTACCTCATCCTCGTACCTACTCATGACTCACCCATGACCTCATCCATCTCGCTTGTCCAAAATGATAAAATAGATTTTGTAAATTCGGTTCATGAAGTCAACGATCACTATTATTCAGTATATGCGATGTTTAAAGTGATTAACATTATAATCAAAATATATTTCTAGTGCTACGCCGCTAGTCAAGTGGCCATAGTTTCTTTATTCTTTGTATGTATTCATTTCACACACGCTCAGATTCATGCATACCGATTTCATTAAATTAGTATTTAGAAGACAACATGTATGCCCCACCGTCCTATATGTTTGTTTGTTGTTTACCCCATATTGTTGTTTACGCCGAGGGCGGTGGGGTAGCCTAGTGGTTAAGGCGTTCGCTCGTCGCGCCGAAGACCTGGGTTCGTTTCCCTACATGGGCACAATGTGTTGAGCCCATTCCTGGTGTCCCTCGCCGTGATGTTGCTGGAATATTGCTGGAATGTTGCTAAAAGCGGCGTAAAACAAAACTCACTGACTATTTAACGCCGCACTCAGCAATAATCCGGCGGCGGCGGTCTGTAAATAATCGAATCCGGACCAGACAACCCAGTGATCAACAGCATGAGCGTCTATCTACGCTACTGGTTTACAATGATATGCTTGTGTCAACCAAGTCGCCTTTTACGTCAAGCATGGGTCCAATTCTAATCGGAATCTTCATTGCTCCACCGTGATAAGAAGGACATGATAATTCGCGGTGATCCACACACCCTGTGAGGTGTTTGGCTTGTCAGCATGACACTCGTGCTACAAACACCTTGTGAATTGGATTCTTCAGACAGCAGTCACGTGATATGATTGTTACACTGATGATTGACGCCAATCATGTATGATATTGGGAACAAATAGTACATTTCCATTCACTATATGATTTCTCAAACTGATGCAATAAACAGTTACTATATATGAAACTCACTTTTAGTTCTTTGTTTTGAAATCAAAATGGCGAGGTATTTATCTGTATTCGCAGGCATTTGTCGCTTGATGGATTAACACTTAGCCTCTCAAAATGTAAATGTTTTTACTGAAAGCAAAATTTAACTTGAAAAGGAGTCACAGTTCGATCCGAGATTCGGAACGTGAGGAAAACCTACTTGCTTCATTGGGGGCTTTTGCATAGCAGACGGGGATGGGCATAATCCGGATCTGGGGCGGTGGGTTAGTGGTTAAAACGTTCGCTCGTCACGCTGAAGGCCCGGGTTCGATTCCCCACATGGGTACAATGTATGAAACCCATTTCTGGTGTACCCCGCCGTAATATTTCTGGAACCTTGCTAAAAGCGACGTAAAACCATTCTCACTCACTCAACGGCACAACAAACAATATGTAACTGTTTTCCTACATTTGAATGAGTCATCTTGGTTTAATGCAACCTCATTAAAATCCGAGCAGCATTTCATGAGACTGGCTTCAACGACACTTCGAAATGTCGTCACACCGTTGTGCCGAACTTGAAGAGACCTACGTGAACACTTCGAATTATCCGAGCAAACACGGTATGATGACAAACCAAGTTGTTACTTCGAGACAACCAAACGTTCCCAACGTCAAAGGTCGACACAATAGTTTACGGTATATTACAGCACGCCAGCTTTGTGTAGAAGGAAAGGATTTCCCAAATGTTGACAAGTGTTACTGAATCCCAATTGCGCAGATCGATTATTTACAGACCGCCGCCATATAGCTGGAATATTGCTGAGTGTGGCGTTAAACAACAACCCCCAAAAAAAAAACAACAACAAAAACAACACACAAAAAACCCAAAGTAACAAAAACAACAACAACAAACAACCTGATATTGACGACACAAATTGACGAAGTCAGCAACCATAAATCTATTGGCAACCATATGAAGGATTGCTCAAATATGTCAGTAGGAGTTATGTCCCTTTGACTTCCATACGATCTTGGGGCGATGGTTTCATGGCCATTCGGCACTGAATTCTGAACGTGGATATATAATTAACGCTTCACGTGTATCACGGGAATGGTCACCGTTGATCTTCACATCTAACGCGTGAAGTGTGAGTCAGTTGTTCATTATATTAATAAATCAATGAGATTTTAACGACAACTTTTGTGGTGAGAGTTATAAAGTCGCCTGAAAGGCTATTGTGCATACATGGCGACGTACACGCATGTGCTAATGTGGTGCGTGCGTGCGCGTGCGTAGGTGGTTTCAAGTATCACTAAAGTAGAAATTACAGAAATGTGACAGAGATAGACTTCGGTGATTTGATAAAATGGCATAAATAAAGACTACTGGGTTTCAATTTCTATAAATTACAAACTATGGTACCTTACCTTCATGATTCATTCAAATGGTATCACGTGACAACAATATAATATAACCAGATGTGTAATGTCCAGTATTTCCTCTCAAGAATCAACGACTTGGTGTATGGCGTGTACCTCGACGGCGTGGATCGATGCACATGATATTAATCACTGGACTGACTTGTGCATATTCGAGTAAGTACAAGCCACTACAACAGAGTGAGTGAGTATGATATTACGCCGCTGTCAGCAGTATGCCAGCAAGATCACTCCGGAGACATCAGCCTCACCCATTCGTGACCAACTCGTGTTATTCCGGTACAAGCCGAAGACCTAGAGTCTTCTCGGAGGTCGGGGAAAGAGGCGAGTGGTGAGACTGCAGCCACATCAATGCCATGAACCTGCAGCTGGGTGCGGTTGTCATTATTGTTGGTAATGAACGTGTGAAGTTTAGCTTTGATCCGGAAGTTACTGAAGAGGGATAGAGTGCGTAAAAACGGCAAAACCCTCTCAATTCATAACAAGGCAGAATCCATGGTGCTATGTGTTTATGAATAAGTATCAAATTTCTAACATTTTAACACCCCCCCACCCCCCTCTCCTCAAAACACCCCTAAAATTAGACAAGAACTCTGACAACACCAAAGCCCTTACAACACATTTTGTATGTGTAGTATACGTGTGTTTTGAGTAACATTATCCGTGTAGTAGTAATGAGGGGATTTCCAACATGGCTGTTCCGGCAGCCATATTGAAAATTAGAATTGAGCTTCTTGAATAAACTGGGATGTCGTCATTGGTGGGAACAAACAGGTGAAGTAGCGTTGGTCCAGAGGGTGATGAGAAGATGTAAACGATGCGCTGGGGACACCACATAAACCATGGCCAGAGACCATATACCGATATATAATTTATGTATATGGTCTCTGCATAAACTTACGCCACAAAATACCGCCTGGCGTTCTGTCAGCCGAGCTGGAATGAAAAAAACACACAAGTGCTTTAATAATTTTATTTTGTACACTTTTTTTTATATTCGGTGGAATTATGTTCGTAAACCAAATGAGAAACGGTTCGACTAATTGACAGGTTTAGCAAAATGATGTTTTTAATTTTGGATATTGTCACGTTCCCCCCAAAATGGAAAGTGAATAGTTTCACGTTGTTTCTTTGTCACTAGAACACCTTGGTCTGAAAGGTCCCATCCTAAATGCAGAATAAATAACATTGTTATGATAATAGGTGACGAATTAGGATGGAATACACGTATATCCAATCAGCACAAAGTTCATTCTCCGACTATGGTTTCTTCCAAGGCAGTCTAGATTATCCACGATCTCAGTTGATCGTTTGCTGCCGTGGTAACGAATGCACAATAACAACATGAGTTGTCTCCCTTCCTATGCACACATTCAATTGACGTCCGTAATGAAATCTCTGGTCTCGCTTAATTCAATGCATACTGTACCCACTGTTATCATGACATTCGACCTTTTTTCACAGACACAAAAAATACACATCGGTGGGTATCTTCGTTCTGTATCCATTCCACAAATATTCCTCTCTAAATATAATATATACACAATTATCATACAGAAATTAACATGTCACTGAGGAAAACAGCCATTGTAGCCATTAGTTAGTGGTCACGTGACTCCTCTGTCACACGATTACCTCCCTTTGATTTCTGTCTTTGGTTATCCGTGGGTTTGATCCCGGGACGAATAGAACCACCTCCTGGTGAATTCCCGGGAACGTTAGTGTATATTGGTTGGGTCAGTTCTAAAGGTTTTTTGGTTTTAGTACGGGGATCAGATACAACGGGTCCCGGTTGTTTGACCGGTCCATTAGAATGATTCACGACACTGCTTGTAGCGTAGAGTCCCTCGGAAGACGGATTTGGGACTTTCAAATCTGTAACTTCAACTCCACGAGGAACGTTCTTGGCTGATGGCGTGGCCCGGCTGAGACGGGAATGAAGCAGATGATTCTGGTCCGCAAAACGAGGACTCTTTTGCTCACTGTCTATAACGATATTCTCGTAATCCGAGATTTTAGGGTCACGAAACGATCTGCCTATTGTTGAGCGAGTTATGAAAGGCCCGGATGTGTTGGACAATAATCCAGGTGGGGCTGGATCCGAAAATGTCCGTGTGTGCGTCGGCAGTCTCCCGAAGGTTTTCCCGTTCGGATGAGTTCGGGAGAATGTTGAAATGTTCTGCGAAGAAAATGGCAACTGACTAGGCGGCAAAGGTCGAATTGATGGCCCAAACGTAAATTTCTGAGGATCCCAACGACAGTTATCTCCCTTGCAAACGTCCTCGACCTCTGCGTAACCTGGTGACGCCGGTGTGGCTTGAACACGGGATGCTATTGAGTCAGCCACCTCGCAATAACAGTCCCTCAATATTGGCCGCTCGTGTTTTAACGGGGACGCTGAACTTGGGGGACTCCCAGGGCTTGTGTCGCAAGGGGTAGGTACTGCATAGACGTGTTCCACGCGCTCGATTCTCGGACGTCTGAAATGAACAATTAAACGTTAGCACGGTACCGCTACATACATTTACGAGAAACTACAACATTTATAGAAGAATGAAGCATATATGGCGGAGTGAGTTAGATGTACATGTATCGCCGCTTTTCAACAGTATTTCAGTTACATCAAGGAGATTCAGTTTCATGTGGTACTACTCAGCTGTCCACAACCAGGACGAATGTGATCCTGCCATGCCTAAGGGAGACAACTCATTATATGCTGTGCGGTACTGCAATTGGGCGCGGATTCCAACAGGACAAGGCCAGGAGTCTATCTATCGTAATCAAGAAACGTTAAGAGATCACCCGATTCTTAATAACGACAGATAATCTGTCATGACAGTCGCATACTGTTTACATGAATATCTAGTATCTCTTGTTCTCTCTGCAGAGGGGAATTGATAGAATAGTTTTGAATTTTCATCCAAATAAAACGCAACTATAATTGACTAACAAAGCATTTTGGAAAAACAGTTTATGTTTCAGATATATTACGACTGCCATCAAATGGGCTACATTCACAATTATCTTACCTCACACATAAATGTCGCTTTCTGATTGGCTGAGCGCTCTTCTATTATTTTCAATGTACCCCGCTACAAGCGAGTAACATTTCAATGTAGCCCGCTGTCAATGGCAACTCATTTGGTACTTCGTGGTAGTAATTCTTTATCTCGAATAACATTGAATCAATTATGATGTACGGAAATTACCGATGTTTTGCGAATGCAAATCGATAGAAGGGAGATAACCGAAATCTGTTTTTCTTGTCAGCAAAATCTAGCGATAGCTACAAAAGGATTTGTACCCGATCTTCAAACAATTCAAAATTAACATTAAGGTGTTCGGTAAGATAAATACGTTGTTCACTGGCCCCTCGGGGCCCATGGGTTGATGTACCCTCGATGTTTGTTTATGTTCCCTGAGCCCGAAGGACACAACCGGGCTCAGGGAACATAAACAAACATCGAGGGTACATCAACCCATGCCCCCCTCGTGACCAGTGTACAATTTATAATGTGAGTTCTAAATCCCTGTCCGGATTAAGCCGGAAATACCCGAAAGTGAGATAGATGACCACTCGTGTCTTTCCTGGGTATATCGAATTGCAGGTTACGGAAAGACGCGAGTGGTGCCGAATGTAAACCATGACGTGTTGGTGGTAAATTCTTTGACACTAACCAAGATTGTTATGCGTTGATTTTGATTTAAGATTGAATTTGGAAGTAAGGAGATGATCGAGATACACGTTTACTTACTTCAAGAATATAACTGTCAGGATGATGGCCACGAGCAGGACAGCTCCGATTGTCGACACCACGATAATCACAACTAAAAGAAAGGGAATGCATTGACATAAACGTAATGCGAATAAAGAAATCAGGGTGTGAGAGTGGGTATTGTTTTACGACGCTTCAGCAATATTCCAGCAATATCACGACCACGGAGCAGGAAAACAGATGCGACCAATGTGGGAATTAAGCCATGGTCTTTGATGGAACGTGAATAAGGGACAGACATGTTGCCACATTGAGGATATAATGAAGTACTGGCACACAGTGTACAGAATTAATATCAACTTTGGCACAACGTGGATTGATAGAACTACTGAAACAATTTGGCTATGGCAGAAATCTGGACACAGGGTTGGCATAGTCCGTTTGGCTCAAAAGCAGACCGATGAATTGCAACCTAACTAAAAACAATTACATATAATACTCAATGAAACGCTGATCATAATCAAAACATCAGACCAACTCTGTGATTTATTTGCAGAATTTATGTCCTAAAAATAAAAAGGTTTTAACAAACTATCATTAAAATGTTGACACAGTTCACTATGTGTTACGAGGGAGGAGTGCAGAGAAAGGGACAGCCAGGTGTTCGAGAAGCACGTGCACAAGTGCCGACAAAGTTATTGATTCATTAACCTGTGCTGTGCCGTCTCCATCCTTTCTCGCACACCTGGCTGTCCCTTTCTTTGCACTCCTCCCTCGTAACAAATAGTGAACTGTGTCAAAATTTTAATGATAGTTTGTTAATTTTTAGGACATAAATTCTGCAAATAAATCACAGAGTTGGTCTGATGTTTTGATTATGATCAGTGTTTTTTATTAAGTATTATATGTTTATTATTTTTCGAGTTAGATTGCAATTCATCGGTCCGTTTTTAAGCCAAACGGACTATAAAGGACATTTTTACACATTCCGGAGACACACCGACACAACTTAGAAGGGAAGAAATATGGACACTAAGTGCATAGATAGCGACAGCTATAGACACTGTATGGGATGGACGTATTGTCACACAATAGACAGCGCGGAATAAAATATATATACTGACACAATGTGGAGATATATACACTTTTGTACCTACTTACTGCCTAAATATTACCAAGTGTCGACCGCCTCCGTGGTATAGTGATTATAGCGTCCGCCCGGAGTGCGGAAGGTCGCGGGTTCGACCCCCGACCGCGTTATACCAAAAGACGTTAAAATATGGTACTTGTTGGTCCCTGCCTGGCGCTCGGCATTAATAGGTACAACAAGGACTGGTCGGATCGGAGTCAGTATAATGTGTCTGAGTGGGGTATTCATGCTTCACTGCGGCATGGTATCTCAGTGGGCTAGCACTATAAAACCAGCTTAAGTCTGGGCTAGTACAAGCAGCCGTACATACACACGCATGCACGTCGTCATATGAGCGAAATATTCTCAAGCACGACGTAAAACCCAATTCCACCACAACCACTATTACCAAGTGTCGCTATTACACAGACCTACCTGTGATGCTGATCTTCTCCCGCTCGCTAGATGGCGTCTCCGTGCTCGTCAAGGCGGTGTTCAGTGTCGAGGTGTACCAGTCTACAAACAACAACTCCATAGTTTTAGCAACGTGAAGTGAAGATTACGACTGGGTAAAAAGAAGCCGTTTAACGTCCAAACTGAAACATGCCATGTGTCTAGCTCAACCAACTGCCGGTAAGAAAGCATGCTTACAATTCTGGGTTGCACTTCCCCATAATAAAAAGTTCAAAGTTTGCAATCACTTGACTTATAAGTCTTGGTACTTGAATTTGAACTCGGGGTTACAGACTTCCTTCTAGGAAGGAGTTTACAAGGTCGCATGTGTACACACTTGCCACGTGCACGATGGGAATCTGTAGAGCTGTTGTTGAATATACCAGGTTCAGTAAAACCATGTTTTTTGGATTGTCACGTTTCGGGACCATTACAGATCCCTTCTTCAGGTGAACTCATGATACAGAAGCTTTCTTAATAAAAGTATCTTGGAGATAACGTCTATTTGAAATTTAGCACAGGACATGTAGGTGAGTGAGTGAGTGAGTGAGTGAGTGAGTGAGTGAGTGAGTGAGTGAGTGAGTGAGTGGGTGGGTGGGTGGGTGGGTGAGTGAGTGAGTGAGTGAGTGAGTGAGTGAGTGAGTGGGTGGGTGGGTGGGTGAGTGAGTGGGTGAGTGGGTGGGTGGGTGAGTGAGTGGTTGTAATAGAAGGATTGCATATCAACTCTATCAACATCCGACCCGGAATAGCCTCTACAATTTGTACCCACAGAGTTGAACACTTCAACGAAATGAGCGAACGCTTTAACCGCTTTCAGCAATATTCCAGCTTTAGCGGCACTATTAGCAATATTCCAGCAATATCATGACGGGGAATACCAGAAATGGGCTTCACACATTTTATGGGGAATGGAACCCGGGTCTTCGGCGTTACGAGCGAACGCTTTAACCACTAGGCTACCCAACCGCCCCCTAAGAAGACTGAAGATAAACATACATGCAGCAACATAGGGGACCTGACCTTCACTCAGGTGAGCTATAACACAAAGTACACGAGCACGGAATTAAACTGACAGGTAACATTATATTTTTGGCTTTATTTCCTCAAAATTAGAACACAAACACCGATCAACTTTATCTAAAAGCGTTTTCTTGTAAACATCTATTGCCATAAGAAAAACCTAGCCTCAATGAAACCTGTCCGATATCGTACTGTGTTCTGTCTCACTTCTCGTATACGTCATGATATCGAACGATTATACTACATATACACGATAGGGGCTGACATATGAGACGCTGGAGCCCTGATCATGCTTATCTATTGGCTATCAGTCTCGCTGTACTTTGAGTGTTTCTGGAAGTATCTGGGTTTTTTTCATTCAGATCAACAAACGGCGGGTAAACAGTTCTCATGTTTAAGGAAGGGTGGGCGCAGTTTAGGCAGTTTCCCAGATCTAACGCACCTGTTTCTTTGAGGAGTCGCACACATGTCGTCTTTAGGGCGGTTTTCGTATACGTTCCGTAATATCTGGAGCCCTACCCGACGAAAATATAATTTGGAGACATACATGTTACAGTCAATCTGTCGACCAGTCATTTGGGCAAATGACTGTAACGATGAATCATTTGGTCAAAAGAATAAAATTCTCAGTCATTTGACCAAATGGCTAAAAATTTCTTTGATTACTACACAGTGTTTGTTTAAGAGAAACCATGTGCCCCATGTGTTTTCTGTGAAAACCCCTTTGTTGAGACAACATTGAAAATAAATACCTGGCACTTAATGAATTGACTAAAACTGTTCAGGTATTCAGTCTAACTAGAACTCTAATGTTTTAGTCTTTTGACCAAATGACAGATCGTTTTAGTAATTTGGCCAAATGACTGGTCTTACAGATTGACTATAACATACGCTTGTAACTTCCTGGGGACACACGTGTGATCTCTTAATAGTGGCTGATAGGGCTGGATATTACCCTGATTCTCATATTCCGATATACTGCAATACTTTAACAGATATTGCAATACATATTGTGATATAATGACCGGAAGGTTTCTGCCCAAGTGCGTACATAATATATTCACAATAGCTCTCTGTGTGCGACATCATCTTCTTAGATGCTGTTACACCTAGGCTAATAACTAGTCTCTGAAATGAACATATTTTACAGAAAATTAAGTTCATAGTAAAAAAAAGTAAAATATAATGAAAAGGAGTCCTGAGACTTTCAGGCTCCCCATCCCCATTGTGCAAGGCTGTATGCCAATAGTTTACAGATAAATAAAATTCTATAGAGACTTAGTGCTGAATGTTATTGCACAATGAAACAAAACCATGATTTAGGTGAACAACTTGAGCTTATAATCTTATGTGACCTCCAGTAATTATGATCTTTGACTAGAATGTAAATATACAGTCCTACAAAATTTATAAGACTTAGGCCTTTATGATACATTGATAACATATGTTCCATTATGAAACAATAAAAAATGATAAAATAATGTGAATTGTGAAATGGTCACTCAGAACCAGAGGTTCCACTAATAAGTCCAAATAAAAAATGGTCCATTTGAGGTCACTTAATTCAAGCCCACAAAAATTAATTCTAATTTGGTAGAATATTTGGCACTTTTCGAGGCAATTGTAACATGTTACATGAAACCAAAAGAAATAAAAGTATATTTGGCACTTTAAGAGCACATTTAGTTGCTATGGAAATCAAGGGCAGATAATTCAAAGGGAGCTAGGTCTGGATGACCCAATATATTGCAGAATCTGAACCATATCGTGATAATCGTATCGCGAGATACTGTACCGCTATATACCGGTTTATCGGAATTATTACACAGCCCTAGGGGCTCATACCACATGTGATGCCTTATGCCTGGTTCGACCAGTGTACGATATGTCTGGTTTGAGCACAGCATGATGTATGTAGGGTTGGACCAGCACCTTACTGGGGATATCTGTCGGTAATGTCAAACTTGAACAACTACTTCAAAATACCACAGTTAGTTAACTTGGTATGAAAGCAGCCGAACAGTCTGCTCACACTACTTTCCCTTTCCGATACATGCCAACTGTGTGGAAACGTCGGTGATCATAACAAACCCCGAGTGGGACAATTAACGCTACTGTACAAATAACTAGGTTTATCGGTAATATTGCACAGCCTAAGAAATAACTGACACCGATGTGTCTGTGTGTGTTCCAGCATTATCATGACGGGGAACACCAGAAATGGGCTTCACACATTTTATGGGGAATGGAACCCGGGTCTTCGGCGTTACGAGCGAACGCTTTAACCACTAGGCTACCCAACCACCCCCTTAAAAGACTGAAGATAAACATACATGCAGCAACATAGGGGACCTGACCTTCACCCAGGTGAGCTATAACACAAAATACACGAGCACGGAATTACGCTCACAGGTAACATTATATTTTTGTCTTTATTTCTTTAAAATTAGAACACAAACACCGATCAACTTTATCTAAAAGCGTTTTCTTGTTATCATCTATTACCATAAGAAACACCTAGCCTCAATGAAACCTGTCCGATATCGTACTGTGTTCTGTCTCACTTCGCGTATACGTCACGTTATCGAACGATTATAATACATATACACGATAGGGGTTGACATATGAGACGCTGGAGCCCTGATCATGCTTATCTATTGGCTATCAGTCTCGCTGTACGTTGAGTGTTTCTGGAAGTATCTGGGGTTTTTTCATTCAGATCAACAAACGGCGGGTAAACAGTTCTCATGTTTAAGGAAGGTGGGCGCAGTTTAGGCAGTTTCCCAGATCTAACGCACCTGTTTCTTTGAGGAGTCGCACACGTTCCGTAATACCTGGAGACATATATGGTACAGTCAATCTGTCAACCCAGTCATTTGGGCAAATGACTGTAACGATGAATCATTTGGTCAAAAGAATAGAATTTGACCAAATGGCTAAAAATTTCTTTGATAAATACAGAGTGTTTGTTTAAGAGAAACCATCAAGTTAAAACATTGATTACACAACAGTATCGTTTCCTGTTGACTGGGTCCCGTCCTATTGCGCAACTTAGTACAATAACCAGTCCAGAATTTTGGGACCAATTTATTTAACTGGATACATAATTATTAATCAGTATTATTTGATACATCTAAGCATTTGTAAAGTGCAACACTACGCTCCTTCTAATCCTTGCAAACACGTCGTGTAGCGTGCTCTGTCGTACAGCGAGCTCTGACAAACGGAAACCTGGAAATCGTGGAAATCTCAAAACGAGGCTCTGCCGCTAGAAACGTTTGGCGGTCTGGTACGGACCTGATATGATATCAATCACATTGTGCTTTCAGGAACTACACTGAATAAGCACACAAAACACAAAAAAGGTGTAACCAGGGAGCCAAATGAATTGTGAATCATTTTACGACCTCATCAAACAGGGGCAGTCTGTGACGTCTTAGTTAAAATTAAAATTTACTTGTAAATACCATTTTCTGATGAAACAAGGAAATGGAATTCAGTGTAACCATAGTTGTTTGTGATGTCTATTTTCATTTTCACACGAGAAAATTCGGATCGGCTGAAAAGTAGGTCATTGTCTGTATAGGTTAATGAGACTCATGTTTCGGTTTGTGCCCCATGTGTTTTCTGTGAAAACCCCTTTGTTGAGATAACATTGAAAAAAAATACCTTGCACTTAATGAATTGACTAAAACTGTTCAGGTATTTTGTCTAACTAGACCAAATGACTGAAACTTTTAGTCTTTTGACCAAATGACTGATCGTTTTAGTAATTTGGCCAAATGACTGGTCTTACAGATTGACTATAACATAAGCTTGTAACTTCCTGGGGACACACGTGTGATCTCTTACTGTGGCTGATAGGGCTGGATATTGCCCTGATTCTCATATTCCGATATACTGCAATACTTTAAGAGATATTGCAATACATATTGTGATATATTGACCGGAAGGTTTCTGCCCAAGTACGTACATAATATATTCACAATAGCTCTCTGTGTGCAAAATCATCTTCTTAGATGCTGTTACACCTAGGCTAATGA